TTACTCTTTTTTCTCTTCAAACAGTGTTGCAACTGTCTGGAACTATATATATTGTATCAGGGCACATATTATATATTTTGGTGTAAATTCTAATCAATAATGAAAATTAATTTGGGTTCGTATGAAAAATTTCGGTACTTGGCCAATTCATTGTTACTATAGATAAATGAACACATCAATATATTGTGTCATTATTGAATATGCATGGCGTCGCTTAAGTTTTTAAATTATGTGTGCTTTGGACAAGCCCTTTGTGACTGTCGCACGTGAATCGCACATCATTTTGGAGAATAATGTTAGTTTTGAATGAACGAATTAAGAGATTTACCGATGCCTAAACTCGAAGTCCAACTGTGATGCTTGCGCCCTTTTTGTCAAACAGTAGTTTTATCATAATAGGCTATGTTGTGGATACATCAATAGATCTGACCAGACTAATGCGATTATTGATCTACTTGGTTGGATTTTCATATATAGATAGTTTACTTATTATATTACTGTATTTCAGTGGATTAGAAAAAAAATCCTTGTTGACTAGTTAATTTTAGCGATTCCTAGATTTAAAGTTGTAATGCTAGCTCACTAGTTAGCAAATTCTAGTTCTTTATTGAGAGGCTCTGCTGTGATACCACCTAGACCACTATATTCGACTAGACTAATGATATAGTCAGATTGCTGAGATTTTCGTAATACTTAAAATTTATTTATAGACGACCTAGCCCTCCCAATTTTTGTTACATTTAATTAATCTAATGAATATATTTCATTTTCCTTCAAACAATATTATAGTGTCAGAATTAAATATATAGTAGTAGCAAACATAATTAGCAATTTCTGAATAAATTCTAATCAAGAATGAAATTTTTTTAACTTGATAAATTTAATACTATAGATAAAAGAACAAACAAATATACGGTGTCACTATTAAATAACCTTGGTATCACCAATTTTTTTGAATATGTATGCTATGGAAATACCCTTAGTGACTATCATGCATGAATTGAACATAATTTTAGAGAAAATATTATAGGTTTAGAATCAAAGAGTTGAGACATTTATGCTCATATGTTTGACATACTTTTCTACCTATGCATGAAAATAAGAGGGCAAGATGTTACAAATTCTATTGTAGTAGACTAGCTAATTAATAAAGATTTTTCGATGATTAAGTTTGAAATTCAGCTGCGGTTCTTGCTCCCGTATAAGTACATATCTTCATGAACATAAGATTTTTCAAATTCTTCTTAAAAATCTCCCTGTTCCCCATTTTTATTAAAAATCTCCTTAATCACCTCACGTATATAAATAAGATCATTGGGATAATCACATCAAAAATAAGATTTCACCCCTTCCATAAAATTCTTTCCAAATTCATCAATAATTTCCACGTAATGAGTTCCTATTTCGGTAATAATTCCTTTGTGCCATTTTTGATGTCCCAATATAATCGATGAATAAATGAGCACCAAAAAAGAAATTGAGAAGAGACTGCCCCACCCTCCATTTCTCTATCCAAAAAATATGAATTCATGGAAATGAAGTGTAATTCTAAAACCTAGTAAATTAAAAAACCTGTTTTAGGTTATCCAATTCGAACAGTAACACTAGACAGGCAAAATATTCTTCGACCAGTTTTTGAGTAGTTCCAACTGATGGGTAGAAGTTGTGATAGAGTATCACTTTTCACTCAAATAAACAAAATTTCATTAATCACACAATATATAACTAGTACAATAGAGAAATTCTCTCTCAAAAACTCTCCTATACAAATATGGAAATTTCTCTTCTACCCGATAAATAAAAATGCATACCAATATATCTATATATAGGAAAAAACTGAGAAGAGTTCAAGTTGATAAAGTAACTTTCTTCCACCTCTTTATTGAAAGAAGTATTCAAGATGAATAAGTAACTTCTACCTTTATTGATAGAAGAAGAATTCAAAAATGGTTAAGTAATTCTTTCAATAACTTTCGACCAATGATGAGCCTTTCCTTAACCATGTAAAATTCTTCTATCCAATATAAAACTTTGCTTAATCAATTTGAATTTTGACTAAGTCATATATTCATCTTCATACTTCTAAAACTTGTGATCTTGAACTTCTTCTTCTAGAATTTCGTTGGTTGAGTTTACACTACTTTCGACATCTCCCC